AGAGAGAGAGAGACAGAGAGACAGAGAGACAGAGAGAGAGAGAGAGAGAGAGAGAGAGAGAGAGAGAGAGAGAGAGAGAGAGAGAGAGAGGGTGTACGTATGTGTGCGGGAAAGGAAACAATGTGCAGGTGATGGGCCGGCAAGCGGCAGGGATTGAGAGTGCAGGCAGGGCGCTGGCACCCTAGGGGGGCTTGGGGCCTGCTCTGCGCCTGCGGCACCTTTGTCCGCACACAGCATGGAGCACTGCTTGCCCTACCCTGTAATGCTCATGCCCGCCCCCGCGCCGTCGGCCAGGCATGACGCAAGGGCCCTGCCAGCGCGCCCCCGGCCGACGGCCGCCGCCGTGCGTCCCAAGTTCAATACAAGCTGCGATGCACGATGCAGCACGCGCCGCACCCGAGCTCGCGCTGGGCAACGTCAAGCGCGGTTAGGACGTCGGCCAGGAGGGCCAGCACGTAGCGCACATCATGAAACGCCGGGTCAGACACCTGCGGCGGCGGCGGCGGCGGCGGCGGCATGCGGCAACCATCATGAACCATTGATGTAGCGATCGCTCTGGGGGCCGACGGTGATGATGGTAAGGTGACAGCGGCGGCGCGGGCGCCAGCGAGTGTTCTGCGGGCCGCTTCCGGGGTCATGGGGCTCGATGGCATGGAGATGGAGCGGCCCAGTGGCACGGCGGGTGATACAAGGGTGACGCGGCGGGCCAGCCGCGCGCGGGAGTGCCGCCTGATTTGTAAGGGGCCCTTCCCTGCATGTGGCGCCCTGCCGATGCGCACACGCAGGCACCATCCTGCCAGCATTACTAGCTGCGCGGCAGCCGCAGCCGGCACCGGCGCCGGCGGCGCCCCTGCCCGTCCCTGCTTGGGCTCCCAAGAACCGACTGCCCGCAGCGCCCGCTCACGCGCTTGTCGATGCTCAGTCCGCTGGCTTTCTCGATAATCACGCCCACGATGGTCCTGTCCTCTTGGATGAGGACGGCGCGCGCCTGCGGTGATTGGCCGGCGGGGCGGGCAGAGGGGTGGGGACGTTTCAGACAAGGAGTGAGGGCGGCCCCAGAGGCGGCATCGCGCAGAGGGCCCGCGGGCGGGCTGTTTGGGGTCCTGAGGGTGGGCTTACGGTTTGGGGCCATTAAACGGACGGCAGAAGATGCTACAAGACTCATAGCGGGCGTGAACACCCGGCCACATTAGAGGGTTCGGCAACCCTCACGCCGCCCTTTGTCCCTACATGTAGGAAGAGGGTGCCTATGCTGGGCCCGTACTTGTCGGCCAGCAGCGTCAGGTTGCGGTACAGGCGCGCCTCGTGCGCCAGCGAGTGCTGCGCGGCCCCGGACGGCCGGCAGACCTGCGGCGTTTGCCGGCGGGCGCGATCGCGTCCGTCGGCAGCGGCCGAGCAGGCGGCTCGTGGGCGGATGCCGCGGCGTGCAGCAGCTCGTACACACGCTGCGTTGGAATGCGAATTTCTGATTTCATGCAACTGAAGTAGTTTCAAATATAAAGTACACCCCCGGAGTCATCAGTATGCAAAGCCCGCGAAAACCACTCCACCTTGAGCACGAGCCCTGCGTTGCGGCCCGTGGTCGCGTCCAGCAGCTGGTAGATGCGGTTTTGCGCCATGAATCCCGAGCCAAAGGCGCGGCCAACCCGGAGGTCACGGAGGCCTGGGACCTGCGCGCACGTGTGCGAGTGGGCGCATTGTGCATCACCGTCAGCGCCGCCCGCGGCCACCGCTTCACCATGCACCTGCATGCTTAATCCACCGCCTTGGTATGCATACACACTACTTTGTAGTCGTGCTGTTTGGTGCATAAGGATGCATCTCGCAGCTGACGCCAAGTTCTCACCTGCAGCAAATCCCCTTCCGCTACTACATGTTTTTTGGGAACGATGATCTCAGAAACAGGCGTCATGGTTCATATGAGTGGCACTCTACCGAACAGATATATAGTATGATGTTGTTAGGTCACAGTGCTTTGGCGAAAGGCCGCCTTTGAGCCGCTTCGCCCTGTGTGCATCCGCCCCCCTGGCGCCCTGGAGCTGTGACATCATCCGTCACCTGGACTATCCCCAAAAGTGTGACTGCACTTCAACCACCAAAACCTGCGGCTACATGTGCCCTGCTACTGCTAGCAGATCGTTGCTTACACGGTCAGCATGTGCCGTCCTGTGAAAGTCAGTGACCGCGCCGGTGTGCAACTGTTTTTGGGCCGGGGAGCATGGCACGGCGCGATGGCGCCTGGCGCAGATAGGGTACCCCTCAATGGTTTCTGGGGACACGGCGCTCGGCAAGCGTGTGAGGGCCGAGGACGACACTGGATTGAGAGCTTGAGACTAGGAAGGGAGAATGAGGAGAGGAAACCGAAGGGAGCGCTGAAGTGATTGATCAGCAAAACAGCCACGGCCGGCGAGCATGCGCAGAGGCCGTCGCGCCCCAGGGCGCACGGGGCGACGCCAGGCGCGCCGCGCGGCTTTCGCAGCCGACTGCGGTGCGGGTGGGAGAGCGTGGGCTCCATGAGCGCCCGGCGCCGCGGGCGCGGTTAGGGCATAGGATGTTTGTGGGGCGGGGGCGGGCGGTTGGTTGCTGGGAGGGTGCGCCGTGGAAGGTGCCATCACAGAGAGGGGCCGCGAGTGGGCAATGCTCTCAGAGGCAACCCCGTACCGGTGGGGGCCCCTCGCGACCACGTCACACCGCTCCGCCTTTGGAAACAAGACGACAGCGGCTCACAGGGAAAAGAGTTCGTGGCAACTGGTCAAACCATCGGTCAACGAAGGCACGACATGCACAAGAGCAGCTCCCCAGCTCCAGGCCAAGCCAGCCTCGCCCAGCACGCCGCTCGCCCCAGCGCCGCTGGCCCCACATGCAAGTGTCGGCCTGTCTTTGCCACGGCGGCTGCGACGGTGAGCGGCCCCTGCAACACGCAGCGCCGTCCCGAGTCCCCCGGGGGCGCAGCCGGCAGTGCCGCCATCCGCCGCCCCGGACAGCAGAAAGCGCTGCCTCTGCAAACAGCGGGCGCGTGAATGGAAGTGCCGTCAGCACCCGTACACCTCGACCGACACGTCCGCCGACGCCGTGATCGGCGCCTGCGTCGCGTTTATCGGCGCCAACCGCGCCGTGTTGGTCAGCCTGTAGCGCCCGCACTTAGCCGCCGGCCCGCCGAGCCGCACGGCGTAGTCGAACGTCCGGGCGTCCTCGATCGTGAGCGCGACGCCGTCGGTGCCGCCGGGTGGCTTGAGGTCCCGGTCCCAGTCCACCGCCAGCCCCGCCGCGTTGGCCGCGTCGAGGTTTGGCCCCGAGAACGTATCCGTGATCTCGGCCTTCCGGCCGATCACAAAGTTCGGGGCCAGCTTGGTGAAGTCAAAGCGCTCCGGCGGGACCGAGATTCGGGAGCCGTCTTTCAAGACGATCTCCGCCCGCAGCTCGCCCGCGACCGGCGCGAGCCCCGTGGTCGCGTACTTCAAGCCCTCGAAGGGGCACGCCTGGTGGTTGTCCGGCCCCGCGAGTTGGCAGGCAGCCTTGACCGAGCCGCCCGCGCCGGAGACGGTCACGGACTGCACGTCCAGCGGCTTGCCGCCGAGGACGCCGTCCTTGGGCGACACGAAAACGGCGCCAGACAGCGAATACGCCGCCTTTGGGGGCGGCCGGGTCGCCTCCACCCTGTACCGCACCGCGGCGTACTCGCCGCGCCTGACGCGGAGTGATGTCACGTTCGCCGTCTTCTTGAGCCCCCAGGTAACGTTGAGCCGGGCCGTCGGCGTTATGAAGCCGAACCGGCCGCCGCTCTTGGACTTGCAGTCCGTGAACGTGATCGTGACGGCGGTGGTCGCGGGCTCTGGTAGGGGGGCGTCCCCGGGGTCTTGCACGTAGAGGCGCTGGGTGTTGGCGGCGGTCAGGGGGACGTTGCAGGGCGTCTGCCCGTCTACGTACTTGAAGGACGCGGTATAGCTGGTTTGGAGGGGGAGGTTTGGGGATTGGAGTTCAGAAGGTGGTGGTGATGTGTCTTGTTAGTGTGTTGATGTGTGTATTGTGTGTGCGCGTGTGCGTGTGTATGTGTGTGTATATATACACACATACATGCATGTGTGTGTGTATGTCGCGTGTGTGTGTGTGTGTGTGTGTGTGTGTGTGTGTGTGTGTGTGTGTGTGTGTGTGTGTTGCCGCGC